GATTTATGATAAATTGGCCAGCGTTAGCAATCGCAATTGCAATCACAATCACAATCACAATCATTTTACAAATATTAGTAATCAAGGGGTCACATAATTTTGAAAAGCGCAATAATCGATAATGCACTTTTATAATTTATATTTAGATAAAAAAAGTTTAAATTTTTTTGTCTAAATATAAATTATAAAATATATTAATAAATTTTTATCCCAATTATCTCAAAAGTTTAAAATATATGTAATTTTGTCTTTTAAATAACCTTATTTAAAATATTATTATTTTTTTAATTATATAATTTTGACTTTATAGATAGCTATGATATTCAATTAGTTACAAAAAAAAAAATTTTTAGAAATTGAACATCGTACGTAGCTACATATAAGTCAAAATATTAAATAATCAATAACAAAATTACATATTCTGAAATTTTAAGATAATTTTATTCATATATCTTTACAACTTACGTTTAGGCAAAAAAAAATTAAAATTTTTTCGCCTAAACATAAATTATAAAGTGCATTAATAAAATTTATTCAAATTATTTCAAAAATTTAGAATATATACTGTATAATTTTGTCTCCAAAACATTACCTAGAGCACTATTGTTGATCTACTTAAAATAATTTTGACTTTTATATGTAGCCACGATATTCGTTTAATTAAAAAAAAAAATTTTTTTGATTTTTATTTATTAAACTTCTATATAATCGCTAATGATATAAAAAATATTCCAGAAGATCCACACCTTTATATAGTCACCAGTCCAAAAGTTGATTATATAGAAGTTAGACTGTATTAGTAAAAATTCAGAATATTTTTGCTATTTGGTATTATAATTAAAAAGATTTATAAAAAAAAAAAATATCTGTTTCAAAATAATTTTTTATTCATCTTATACTAAAAAATTAATCTTGTGATCAGACATATTCCATATCTCCAACAAATTTGTCTGTAGCCCAAAAAGGTAATTCACTTTCATATTTCCATCCGTACCTTCCTGATGGATGAACCTTTAACCAAGAATTAAGATGAAATAATCAATAATCTTTGTTTAAACTAAGATAAAAAGTTTTTTCAACATACCGGAATACTACTAGGTTTATCAATAACAATATGATCATCTTTGACACATAAAATTTTAATTGGATTAGCAGTAACAGGAGGTTCATGACGATGGAGTCTATG